ACTACAGGCCTATAGCTCTGCTTTCTGTTATAAGTAAAGTGATGGAGAGGTGCATAAATCGCGAGCTTCTGGACTACCTCGAACGTCACAGCTTGATTAGCGACAGGCAGTACGGTTTCCGGCACCAACGATCCACAGGGGACCTCCTAGCTTACGTCACGCAACTGTGGAGTAAACTCATCCAGTCTCATGGTGAGGCTCATGTCGTTGCTCTTGACATCACGAAAGCGTTCGATCAGCTGTGGCACGCTGCCCTCTTGAGCAAACTTCCATCCTACGGCCTCCCAGAAAAGCTTTGCAGATGGGTGGCTGACTTTATCTCTGGCCGCAAGATATCCGTCGTAATTGACGGATTCTCCTCTTCATCCCACAACGTCAACGCGGGTGTTCCCCAGGGATCGGTCTTGGCTCCAACACTGTTTCTCTTACATATCAACGACCTCCTTTCCTGCACGATCAACCCAATCCACAGCTTCGCTGATGACAGCACTCTACATGCAGGAATTCAGAGTGACAAGCCGATCTCTGCCGCTGAGCTGGAAAAAAGAAGACTAGCGACGACTTCTTCTCTGACAAGAGACCTGGAGGCTATCACTGCTTGGGGACGCAACAATCTTGTACAGTTCAATGCTTCCAAAACACAGTACTGTACTTTGACGAACAAAAAGCGTCCTAGCGCTCATACAGTTTCGATGGACGGTCGAGTCCTACCAAAGAGCCATTCATTTCGGCTGGTCGGAGTCCAGATCACCGAGGACCTGATCTGGCACGAACACATCTCTTCAATAGCTGCAGCTGCTGGGAAAAAGCTAGGCTATTTGTTTAGGGCTAAGAAGTACTTTTCTCCGCATGACCTTCTCACTCTATACAAGGCCCAGATAAGGCCTAGCCTCGAGTATTGCTCACACATTTGGGGTGCTGCCGCCCCGACTACATTGTCCATGCTCGATGCTGTCCAGAGGAGGGCGGTCCGACTGATCGATGACTCTTCTCTAACAGACAGTCTCGGGACTCTTTCGCACCGGCGGGCCGTCGGCGATCTAGCTCTTTTCTATCGCTACACCAACGGGCTTTGCTCCTCAGAGCTCTCTTCCATGATGCCGCCGCGCGATGTGCCTGCCAGACAGACCCGCCTGACTTCGGCGTCCCATCCTAACCGTGTCAAACTTCGTACATCCAGAACTGGCCGATACGACCGCTCCTTTGTCCCGAGGGTGTCTAGATTGTGGAACAAACTACGGGAGGAAGCTTTTCCCTGTTCTACTAACCTTAACCAGTTCAAAAAATCGTATTAACAAAAGTTCTTTCTGATCATCATAGCAGCCGCGGTGTTCCGGCATTTAGGCTTCTGCCTGCGCGGCTGTTTCGATATAAAAAAAAAAAATATTCATATCGCCAAGAGTTTTTTTTATATCGAAGCAGCCGCGCAGGCAGAAGCCAGAACACCGCGGCTGCTATGATGATCCCAAGAAATTTATTAATACGATTTTTTAACTGCCTAAGGTTAATAGAACTGGGAAAAGCTTCCTCTTGTAGATCGTTCCACAATCTCGACATCCTCGGGACAAAGGAGCGGTCGTATTGGCCGCTTCTGGATGTACGAAGTTCGACACGGTTAGTTCGTCAAAGTACAGTACTGCGTTTTGGAAGCATTGAACTGTACAAGATTGTTGAGTCCCCAAGCAGTGATAGCATTCAGGTCACTTGTCAGAGAGGAAGTCATCGCTAGTCTTCTTTTTTCCCACTCAGCGGCAGAGACACACTCTGAATTCCTGCATGTAGAGTGTTGTCATCAGCGAAGCTGTGGATTGGGTTGATCGTGCAGGAAATGAGGTCGTTGATATGTAAGAGAAACAGTGTCGGAGCCAAGACCGATCCCTGGGGAACACCCGCGTTTAGAGATTCATCAAGACAAGTAGCTTGAATTTTTTCTTAAAGACTTGACTTGAAAACTCAAGCTTTTAAAAATTTGATATTTGACTTGACTTGATTTTCGGACTGAGCTACTTGACTTGATATCAAGTAAAATCAAACTACTTGCTATTACTTGATAGTAGATCTGTGAAATGCACATCGAAGCGTTAAAATAGGGGATTCACCGAGGTTAAATAGGGGATTCACACAGCAAGCAGGCACTCGATGGCGACGGACGTGCTCGTGCGATTAGTAGCGCAGCGTTGTTCAAGGATAAAGGGCGACCGCAAAAGAATTATTATGTCTGATTTAAGAAGTGATTTGTCAGAAATGAGTCGGAACCTTTTCAAAGCAGCGGCTCAGAATATATCGTAAATGAAAAAGTGTCAGAATCTGATGACACCGAACCAGAAGAAGAAAGTACAGGGTCGGTGCCACCAAAGGGAAAACGAGTTAAAGCTAATAAAACGAATAAAATTAAGGATTATTTCATAATCGAGCAGGATCCTAAGAGTAAGAAAACTACTGACAAACAAGGCAAATGTACCCTATGTGTCGTAAAAAATACAGTTTTAAAAATGAAAAACTGTGGAACATCTTCACTAAGGAGGCATTTGCAAGCTAAACACACTAGAGTCTACGAAAACATTTTTGGTAGATCCAGCCCACCTAAATCCGAAGCAGAAGCCTCTGCCAGTTCGAATAGGCGTAGCACAATTACAAATTGGCTTGAGAAGGTAAATAATTAATAATAATTAGATTTGAGCTGAAACTAAATAGTAAATAATTGTACAGGGTGGGCATTTTATTAGGGGCGTAAGCATACCTCTTCCTCAGAAACTACAGGGTGTAGAAAAAAATAATTATATAAAAGATTCTTGGCAATCAAAAAAAATTAAATTACCTATTAGAATTTTATTTATACAGGGTGTCCGAAAAGTGCTGCACCAGAATCCTTCATTTGTTTTTTCCAACTTCATCCATTTTTGAAAAATCTTTAAAAAAACACATAAAGGAATCATGCTAGAAAAAAACAAATGCCTAATTTGGATTGCTTGATCACGAAAACCCCTTAAAAAGTTATTTTTTCCAAAATCCGGATCAGCTCATTTTAAGCCACACTTATAGTTTTATAATGTTTATTACAATCATTACAGGTTCCTTGATTTTAAAAGTCATTCTATATTAAAAGGTTTAATAATTATTAATAATATCGAGGTAGGCGAAATATCAAAATATTAAATAAAAGGCGGCTCTTGAACGGAAAAAATTACAACTTTCGATAACAATTCTAAAAGTTTTTTAAATATAAGAAGTACTGTCGACTACTAATTTAGAACCGCTTTTTTATTATATAACATAATTTTTGTTTGTTGTTATAATTGTGTAATAATGTCTGATTTAAAATTCTGATTTTGAAGTCGGTGCAGCAGTTTTTGGGCACCCTGCATCAATAAAACTCATCAGAGCATATTTACAAAATCCTATATTGACTTTAAGACATTCTATTCAAAATTGTGGGACATGCTATAAATTTTTATACAGGGCATTTCAAAAAAATTACTTACTTTTTCATTTAAAAGTGGGATATTATGACGTAAACATTCATGCACCTTGCGCTGCATTTTACTAACTCCAGTTTTGTTTATTTTGCAGACCACTAGTTGTTCAGAAAACTTTCAACAAGACAAATTTCAAAAACTACTTGTGGAATATATAGCACAGAAGTATCTCCCTTTCAACTTTTGTGAAGATGCTATAAGTGGAAAAATGCACAAATCCCTAAATCCAAAGGCAACTCTACCTGGTCGGAATCAAATGAAATCTTTAACATTAAAAACATTTGCAGCAGCGCAGCAAACAATTAAGTCATTTTTGAAAACATGTAATTCAAAAATCTCGTTCACAATCGATGGATGGTCTTCTTTTAATATGAAGGGGTACTATGGTATTACCACCCATTTTATCGATTAAAAATTGGAAACTTCATTGTATCCTTCTAGATTTTGTGCCAGCACATGGGCAACATACTGGTAATGCAATTGCAAAGCTATTTTTCGAAGTATTACAATTCTACGATGTTACAAAATGCATACATGGTATTACTACCGACAATACAAATAGTAATTTTACGTTCATCAGAGAACTTCACACGCATATTTCTGAAATCGATACAAAAAATATCCACTTTATATGTTTTGCACACATCTTAAACTTGGCAGCTAGAGATTTTATGAAAATCCTTGATTCTGAGGTTAAAGAAACCGCCAACATTTTGACAGATATATCAGATGATGATGATGATGACTGCCAAGTTCCGCCTTCTTCTGTGAGAAAAATCCATTCCCTTGCTAAAAAATGAAAAAACTCTGAACATTTACGTGAAGATTTTGAAAAATTTTGCACCACTTTAAACCTGAAATTTACTATGCCAAAACTTTATGTCATAACAAGGTGGAACTCCACGTTAGACATGTTGAGATGGAGTCTAAATATGAGAAACGCACTTAACATCCTTTGTGATAATGTAGAAAATTTAAAAACTTTAAAGCCAACCGACACAGAATGGTCGTTAATTGAACGAATTTGCCAGTACCTTAATGTTTTTAAGAGTATTTCCATAATTTTAGAAGGTGAATCATATGCTACTTTACCCATGGTAATAATCGGCATTAATATGTTGCTGGATAGACTAGAATCGTGGGCTATGGTACTTGACAATAAACCTGATCGAGATGAAATCGATGAAAGATTATAAATAGTATTCAAGCGGCAAAGGACAAAATCATTCGACATTACGAACGGACTAACTGGATGTACTGTGTTGTCCTGATTTTAGACCCCCGACATAAAGTGGATACATTCTCCAATACAAGTTGGGGAAAAGAGTTGCAGATAGAAGCAATTAAACATTTTGAAGATATTTTAAAGTACAATATTTTAGGGCTGACTCTCTGCAAATTTCTGAACCATCACTTCAAGTAGCAGCATCTTCAAACCCTAGTAAAGATAGTAGTGTCGAAAAGTTTGAAATAGATCTACTAAGTTTGTTTAATAGAAAACCTGCCCATAATGCAGACGACGATATGGCCTGGCGTTACGAAATCGACAAATATATTTCTGACCCAAGAGCTGACAGTACTGAAGATATTTTAGAATGGTGGAAGAGACACGAATGCATTTTTCCAAACCTTGCCGCAATGGCCAAAGACTTTTTGGCAACGCCAGCTTCTTCAGCTCCAGTTGAAAGGCAGTTTTCTAGAGCTGCCTTAAGTCTTACCAAAACAAGAAATCGATTAGGCGATAACTCCGTTAGAAGCCTTTTGTGTCTCAAATCATGGATGGCAAATGAGGATATTAAAGATTTATTCTAGATATTCATGTTCATGTTTGTTGATTTTCTATTGTTTTATTGTCAGAATTCAGAATATTTCGCATTTTTATTTCATGTATTATTAAACTGAGTTTGTTAGAGTTTTCGTTTTTAGATGTTTTTTAAATAAAAGATTAAATCTATACAGGGTGTTCCATAATTATTGCGACAAAATGATAGGTGTTGTAGAGGGCATCAAAATGAACAATTTTGCCTTATAAACCCCTGTTCCGTTGCCGTTTGGGCTGCAACAAAAAAAAAATCAGTTTCTTGAAACAGCTTACCTACAGTAATTGCTCAAAGTGTCCTCCACCTTGCTCAATACACAGCTGTGCACGATTGTTCAATGATCGGCGAACTCTGTGGCATACCCCCGGTATGTCCTGAACATGTGCGGACGCGGTCATCACTCTTCCCAGTAGCTCTTGTTGGTTGGGAACAGGAGTTTCGTACACTAAAGCTTTCAGAGAAAATAATCCAGTGGGGTCAGGTCGGGTGACCGCGCAGGCCAAGGCACAGGGCCACCTCGGCCTATCCACCTATTTGGAAATTTGTCGTCCAAATACTGCCGCACTTGTAAAGAAAAGTGGGCTGGAGCGCCATCGTGTTGAAACCACATGTTGGCTCTTATGTTAAGTGGCACATTTTCTAATTGTTCCGGTAGCCCATGCTGTAAGAATCGACCATAAGCATGCCCATCCAAATGTGGTGGAAGCAAATATGGCCCGATGATATGCTCGTCCACAATGCCGCACCAAATGTTAATTGAAAACTGATGTTGGTCTCTATGGATGGCTATGGCATGAGGGTTTTCTTCATCCCAAATGTGACTGTTACGGCTATTAAAATAACCGTCCTTTGTAAAACAGTACTCGTCAGTGAACAAAACGTAGCGACCAAAGTTTGGTTGCCTCAACTCCATAAATCCTTGCAAAAATGGCGTGATGCTGATGAGGACGTTCTGGAAACCGTTGGGCGTAGATTCGCGAGGCTCGTCTTCCGTTACCACCAGCTTCTTCGTAAATTAAATGCATATCCGTAAGTTCCGCATACGAATAACGCTGCATTTTAACAATAAGGTACTGTTAATTACTATCTAGTTTGACGCACCACTCAGATAAATTAAATGAATCGGTGTGGAGAATTTACGATAACAAAAATGTAAACTCAGCAGGCTTTTTTTTACAAACCGGCGAGACCATGAAATGTGCTAGACGAACATTTTGCAGCTGGTGAAATTTTTGTTTCTCCTATGAGCTCTTAAGGTAAAATTAGCGGTAGTGCTCAAACGGCATATTTACGAACAGGGGTTTATAAGGCAAAATTGCATATTTTTATGCCCTCTACAACCCCTATCATTTTGTCGCAATAATTATGGAACACCCTGTATATACATAGATTTTTATTGTTTTTCCGTTTTGGCAGTTGAACAGATTAATATCAAAAAAGTACATTTTTTCAAGAAAAATCAAGTAGTCAGCTTGAAAACTTGATTTTCAAGTTACTTGATGTGTAACTACTTGACTTGACTTGAATTTCAAAAACAAATACTTGACTTGATCTTGACTTGATATCAAGTCAAGACAAGTCAAGTAGCTTGAAAATCAAGTCAAGTCGTGAATCTCTACCCGCGTTGACCTTGTGGGATGAAGAGGAGAACCCGTCAATTACGACGGATATCTTGCGGCCAGATATAAAGTCAGCCACCCATCTGCAAAGCTTTTCTGGGAGGCCATAGGATGGAAGTTTGCTTAAGAGGGCAGCGTATCGCAGCTCATCGAACGCGTCCGTGATGTCAAGAGCAACGGCATAAGACTGGATGAGTTTACTCCACAACTGAGTGACGTAAGCTAGGAGGTCCCCTGTGGATCGTTGGTGCCGGAAACCATACTGCCTGTCGCTAATCAAGCCGTGACGTTCGAGGTAGTCCAGAAGCTCGCGATTTATGCACCTCTCCATCACCTTACTTAAAACAGAAAGCAGAGCTATAGGCCTGTAGTTGTAAGGGTCGGTCTTAGATCCCTTTTTTGGGATGGGTTGGACATGAGCAAATTTCCAGTTTTCTGGGAAGGTGCCGGATTCAAAAGATATCTGGAAGAGACGCGAAGCTTGTTTTGCATTCAAATTGTCAATATGTGAAAGGCACGCTTTATTCTCCTTCCTTATTGATGCTAAAGGATTTTGTCTGAAGGTTACTGAAGCAGTATCACGCTGTCTTAGGATAAGTTTTACTGTAGCTGTTAACCAGGGTGCGGCTGTTTTGTTGACACATGCGACCCTAACAGGGGCATAAGTATCAAATAAGAGTTTCAGTTAAAGTGCGTACTTTCTGTTCAATAGCTGCGGGACCACTCATAGCGCGCCATTTTTTGCAATAGAAATTCCAGTTAGAAATATTTTGAACAATAGTTTTTTGGGCGCCTTATACGATATTTGGCGGCGTGTGGGCTTAATCAGTGCGATTTTTGCAATCACAAACTGCAATTCTTTCCGTAATAAGAAAGTCGCGCCTTCGCTTTTCATTCAAGACATAACATATAAATCAATCAGATGGATCTGACATGCATATTCCGTAGGGAAAATTCGATTTGCTTGGGATGTCGTATTCACTCCAATATTGAGTTAATCCCGGAAAGGAAGCCGTCTGAAGATAAGATTATGTCTTAGTTTTCGTTAGAAATATAGGGGAGTGGCTGAACATGCACGCAACTGACTACAGGAAGCGCTTTTACCCGATTTTCCTTAGATTAAAGCATGTCTGCTGAAATAGGGCTTGCATTACGTAGCGAAGAATAGTGATTTTTCTACAATGGACTGAAAAAGTACGACGCAGTGGAGTGCGCAAAGTTGATTTTTTACTAGGGCCGAGTCAAATTGACAGTGTTTGCAAAGTAGCAAAAACGTCAGCTAGACATATCGCTGATTGTTTAGGTCTGATCTAAAGTGATTGCGCTATCTATAACGCGAATTTAAAAAACTGTTCTGAGTCATCAACAATTTGGCCGCTGCGCCACCAGCATTCCGGCAACCAGTTGCACAGCTGACAGTTGCGTGAAGAAATTTGTATTATTTAATTTAATAAACAGAACAAAGTGAAAGCGTATCTTCACTCATCAAATAAAGGTCAAACCTGGCCGCAATGGATTATTTTATATTATAACAAAGAGATATGACACCGCTTACTAAAAAATCGCGTCACATAGGTTGACTCTGCACTGCCTGATTAGCGACAAGCAGTGCTACCCGCGATCACTCAACTGTGCTCCAGTTCTCTCGCGCCTCCTCCAGATATCTTATGAATTCGGCACCTTCCCAGAAAGCTGAAAATTTACTCATGTCCAACCTATCAAAAAAAAGGATCTGAGACCGACTCTCACAACTATAGGCCTATAGCTGTGCTTTCTGTTATAAGCAAAGTGATGGAGAGGTGCATAAATCGCGGGCTTCTGGACTACCTCGAACGTCACGGCTCGATTAGCGACAGGCAGTATGGTTTCCAGCACCAGCGATCCATAGGGGACCTCCTAGCTTACGTCACGCAATTGTGAAGTAAACTCATCCAGTCTTATCGTGAGGCTCAGACTTTCTCTCTGGCCGCAAGATATCCGTCGTAATTGACGGGTTATCCTCTTCAGCCCGCTACGTCAACGCGGGTGTTCCCCACGGATCGGTCTTGGCTCCTCTTACTTATTAACCCTCTCCTTTCCTGCACGATCAACCCAATCCACAGCTTCGCTGATGACAGTACTCTACATGCAGGAATTCGGAGTGACAGGCGGATCTCTGCCGATGAGCTGAAAAAAAAGACTGGCGACGACTTGCTCTATGACGAGAGACCTGGAGGTGATCACTGCTTTGGGACACAACAATCTTGTACAGTTTAATATTTCGAACGTCCAGAACTGGACGATACGATCGCTCCTTTGTCCCGAGGGTGTTGAAATTGTGAAACAGTCTACAAGAGGAAGCTTTTCCTAGCTCTATTAACCCAGGCAATTCAAAAATCGGAACCTCACAGCAGCCGCGATGTCCTGGCATTCAGGCTTCTGCCTGCGCGGCTGCTTCAGTATAAAAAAAAATGTCAATGCATGACGTACGTGAGTGAATCAAAAAGTTTCCAGACTAGCTCTGTAACCTACTAAAAGATGACAGCTGGAGGCGTAACCTTACAAAGTAGTATGCAAAGTTTCCTCATCTCTGTTGTCTGTGCTCGCCTGATTTCCTTTGTCGGCGATTTCATGATGAACGAAAAGTTTTAGCAAAGAGCAAACATTTTGCGAGGAACTTGTATAATCACCTACTGAAACAGTAAATATGCTTCGATAAGTTTGAGTCGTTCTCAAATTTTTAAATGACATTGCCGATCTCAATAGGGAATAACTTCCAAAGAATAAATAAAATACTTGTAAGACATAAATGGTGTGGAAACTTCGCACACTGTGAGGTTATCATCTGATTTAAATAACAGGCACAGACTTATGCTGCCATCTGTTAGTAAGTTACAGAGCTAGTCCAAAAACTTTTTGATACATCCTTATAAAGTGAATTAACAATACATATATTAAATAGATAAGTCAATTATATAAATATGAATGGCCAAATTGGCAAACACTTTCATTTAAATAACAATATGTGTATCTATTTAGCTTTATATCACGATGATGAAGGGGTATGGATAAAGTGCCACTGTTTTTGGAAACATTTGTCCAGCATATTTCCGAGCTAGCTGATCGATATAACATCAATTACGTATCATGAATCATGATATAATGTTTCTATTAAAGCAAAGACCCTATATTGATCTAGAAAGGAAAGCGGAACGTTTTCGAATTTCCTTTGCGAAATGTGTCGGGTTCCCATTGATGGATTTCTATTATATTTACTGCCGCTCCGTCTAGTGTGAATCATGAACTCACAGAAAGGGGGATCAGAGGTCCCCAGTTTCTACTGAATTTAACACGTGTGAAAAGCTTTTTGTGAGTGAAGTGCGATATTTCAAAA